TGAATGAGAAGAGCCTACAAAGAATACGGGCAAATGGCTTGCATTTTGTTGCTTTATTCTTGATGACAACTGTCACAGGCTGAACTAAATACAAGATTTTATAGATTTATAGCGCTTTTAGTAGTTTTTAACAGAACCGTTTTATGAGGAGTTACACGCTTTCGACTAATGGCGTTTTGTAGGCGGCGCTGTGTTCCGATTACGCCCATCTACGAACTCGTCTTTACATTTTTGCCAATGAATAAACTTCATCAAGATATTTTAATTCTTTACTTCAGTTACAGCTTTCACAGACAGACGGACGGACGGACAGAAATCCGGATTTGATCTCGTCTCGTCATCTTGAATATTTATATATATATATAATATAACTCTATATCTATCTCGATTAGTTTTAGGTGATACAACATGTTCCAAGCGTGTAAAAAGTTATGGTAAATCGTTGGTTTAATCTTTATCTCTAACATTTTGGATAATACACCAGCATCTTCGGCATATATTAGGAATTTTTTGTATAAATTTGTGCGAAATATCCGATATAACTACCCTAGCGAATAATAGCGAAAGAAATTGTAGTGAGTCTTTGCTTTGATTAATAAACAAATACGCGATGATTTCTAAGGAGATAAAAATTAACTTTTCAAGTTCAAAAAAGCTTTTGATGTGTATATACTTCTAAAGCGAGAGCTTCAAGCTGTAATGACTATATATAAACCGAGCAAAAGCTTTGTTTTAATAAAGTTTTGTCTAAAGCTCAAAGGGCGGATTAAGCTTTTTAACTGCCGAAAGCTATGTATTTTAGAGAATTTATTATTTAGAACGCTTTAAGTTGTAAAACAATTTTGATGTAACTGTGTATGCATATTTAAAAAAGCTTTCGAACAACTTAGAAACTTTTACTGGCGGTTTAGCTAAGATTTTTTTCATTTATAGGACAAGTTTTTGAGTCGTATTCAGCAATACTTGCTGCTAGCAATGTATATATATTTTATATAATCTGAGCACGTATGCATATTGCACTTCCTATTAGGAAATGGTGTTGAAAATATTCGGGCAAATTTGAAGAGTAGGTGGCACTATCGTCAGCACTGCTCAATGGCACCAGTGTTTATAAATATTTCACAGCAATATTAGTAGAGTCAACCGTTAATACAACAACCAACGCTTGCTACGGAATATTACGAAAAAAAACTATTTAATTTTTGAAATAAATACAGATTTGGTCCAAGAACTGTCCTACCAGACCGAGGATAAGCACAATGCAAAGTATGAATTACGTTAGAGCGAGCACAGAATTTTAAAAAGCTCAATATTTTTCGAAACATGTTTAGTTTTCTATTTCCACTTCTTTTAAGGTATTAGATAAAATGTATTTCACTTAAATAAAGACAGATGGCGCTACGTAAAGTTGAGATTTTGAGCTTCTCAAAAAGTTCTACGAAGATTTAGCTTTATGCCGAAAATAAACAGTATTAATCCATGTTACTCAATATTATATTTATAAGTAGGAATATAAGGTCAGAGTGTATTACTGAAATAGTAAAGTAATCATTATATTCCAATTATTGATATATTAGACAAACTTAAAGCATATGAAAGCAACTTCAAAAGATTTTAGATAAAAAGCACTTGGAAAGCTACTGCGCATATTGACAGTAAATAAAACTGTCTCAATTCTTAAGAAAGTTAAAAAATAACTTGACATAAAAAATGCCAATTTCTCATTAACGCACTCTTAAGCTGGCTATTCATACATTTTTTTCAATCCTTGCCGGTCAACTGGCTATATCCATGCAATTACCTATATATGTATGTATATATGATGCTATTGGACTAATAATCGTTCCACATTTGATAAATTTTGAGAGTGACCAAAATGTCCCCCAGCTAAATTACAGCTACGGAAAGACAGCGCCAAAAGCTGGATGTGGTGGTGGCGACGAAATTGAGTGATCAAAATTAATGAAGCGCACATTTATGCGGGGACAAATTACATATACGTAGTATGCGCATGCACATATACACTTATACATAAATGTGTGCGATTTATACGAAATGAGCATACAAACTCAATTGATTTCATATGCACATGCATAAGAGCGTGCATACGTATAATTGTGTGCATGTGTTAGTTTAAAGTACAAATGCGAATTTAGAAATGTGTCGATGCCATGACTAGCTCCAAAAGTCATTAAAAATTCACAAAACAAATACAACACATGAACTTCACAATGAGCCCGCCGCATAGCGCACACATATAAGTATACAGAAACACACACTCAAACATTTACATTTATAGATACCTATATACGCATACCCAATCGAATACTAATGCAATCTAAATTGTTTTTGGTTATTGCGGGCTAGAGTGTGAACCTTATAGGATTGAACACTGCGTTGGACTTCCTGTTATAAAATGTTGGTATGTATGTACATACATACATATGGTATATATGTATGCTCTTATATCTGCTTTCGTTATATTAGTGCTTTCCATAATTTTTCAAAACCGACTTTGGCAGCTTATATACACACACTAAATTACGCGCAGATGAATGCATGTTTTTATGTATTGGTTTTGCACCAATAATTACTTTTAGTTTCAGTTGTTGTGTGTTATTTGCATTTCGCATGTTCTTCAAACACATACCCAACCACAAATGCACGCATTTCCTTCACCCACTTCCTTGCTTTCCTCTCCGCGGCAGTGTAATGAATATTATCTGAGATCATTACGGGCAATGATACGCTATTAGCCGCAAAAAAAGGTAAACATTCAGAATTTCGAAATGCCGGCTTTTAGGCGCTCAATGCTTTGTGTTTGAGTGATTTTCAATAATAGCAGACATCAAATGAATGCCCACAACAACAAATGCAAATGCACTCGCAATTCAAACTAGCGGCATAATTAGGAAATAGTGAACACAGCAATGCATGGAGCTTAAACCTTGTACCATTAGGTACCTGGTAGCAGGGTGTATTTTTATAATCTCTTGGCATGTTGCAACAGAGCATAATAGTTTTGTTCACCGAAAGGTTTTTTTGTGCCACCTGAGCTAAGCCAGATACATACAGAGTTATGAATATACAAATTATTAGATGATGAGATGAGAGGAGACTGTCTGTCCGTTCGTTTGTGCTAGCGATGACTTGAATAATAATTGCGATATCGCGATGAAAATTACTACACGTGCGCGTACTCCCAAGGTAATTTGGCTTACGTCCAAAAATTGTCGAAAGCTATAACTTTTCTAAGGCCCAGAAACCGAATATGTGGACTCCAGTGCTAATGGTTGATTTTTTACTATATATATCGGTAAATCTTTTAGATTTAGTATGAAAATTCCGGTAGAATATTTTTGTAATGATAGCGTTCCTTGTGCCGCAAATGGCTAAAATCTGGTCCCTTGGCCTCCATTTACAAGTAGTTAATATAAATAATATCTCATAAATCAATGACTAAGGTATCATAATAAATTGCCTAAAATTGATGAAATCAGGGAAACACTTCCCAACTTTAATATAAAGTTTTTCCAACGACTGAAAATATTTCCCCGGCTTTGATCCCTGCTTTCTATTCTAAAATATTTCCTACAGTAGTTTTCATTAAAATATGTCTAACAGCTCACGTTTGAAAACCGGCCCCTTAAAAAGGAAACTGAAAAGCAAAAACTAGACACCAAACGCTTCTTAATTACATTTAGCATTAGTTAAAGCCATTCTTACTGAACTGCCTAATGTATGTAGTACTTTTACAATTGATTTATGTTGTTCCAGATATAGAGCTATATAGATCTTGAAAATTTATCGATTTGAGAAATAAAATCAAATTATCAGTTTTTTTTTTTTTTTGAGATATATAGAGGAAGATTGGAAAAAACTACTTGTTTAGTTTTGTTTAGAAAGTATATCTGCTAACTAGCTTAACTCACACACAAATGTGGTCACACATTATTCTATTTTAAACCCTAAATAGGATATATTGAGTATGCCATTAAGTTTGTAACACCCAGAAGTAAAGGTCGGATACCCTATAAAGCAGATATACAATTGATCAGTGTGGCTAGCTGAGTTGATTTCACCATGGCGTCTGTCCCCATAGCTGACCCACTATTCGGACAAGAGCTGTCAACTCGAAACTATTCCTCGATATTTATTCAGAAATATTTTCTACCGCTATAACAACAACAGCGTTGTCTAGAACACATTTTTATTTGACGAGATATCTTCAAAACATTTGGCATGAATTATCGCTTAAAGCAATGCTAAAATAACGGAAAAATTTTAACAGATCGGTTCCCTATAGCATACAGCTGCCTTACAGACTTAACGATAAACAGCAAATTATCGTATGGACAGTTTTTTTTTTATTTGTAAAGCGTATTATATTTTCTCTACCGAAGTTAAATTTTTTTTTTTTTTTTTTTTTTTTTTTGCAAATTACAAAAATGTTGATGTCACGAATGATTAATCATTTCAATTTACAATTCAGTGCCTGTTCAAGCATATTTCTTGAATAGCTTTGTTAGAAAGAAAGCTATGATAATTCTTAATGTTTGCTTAAATGTAGTAAACATGCACATTTAAGAAGTTACTGAAAGATTCTTGATTTAACCACAAGTATGGTGGACGGAATTTGATAGTTTAGCTTAAGATCCTACTTAATTTAGGTTTGTGTGAAGCACGTCAATCCTTTTAACCCTCTGCCACTATATAACAATGAAGTAACAAAATAAATAAATTCTCTTTTCCCCGCTATAGTTTTCGAAATTTGAAAATTTATTACACCTCTCCTTCTATTACTCATTATACTCCTTAAAATATGGGGAAATAATTAGTACTTACACTCAAATTGGTCAAGCGATATTAGCGCAAGCGCCGTCGCCAAAATGCTCACCACACTACGCGGCAGAAAAACTGTCGCTGTTAACAGTTGGTGCAAACACGACTCGGGCATATGCGTTGCAAATACGAGTTCAAAATTCCGAACTCTCGGCAATTTCAATAGACTGCCATCAGTTGATGTTCGATATTTGTGTTGTTTGGTATGGATGTACACATACTGACGGCGGTACGCGTAGGGCAACGACGGCGCATAGTACTTTCATGTGATTTTAGCGGAATAACGGTTAATTGCAAATAAATCAACATGAAATTTGCAATTTAAAGTGTAATATGTGTTCGTGCGTATATCAAAATATAGTGATATTATTATAAATTGTTGAAAAGATTTAATCTCCAGTAAACTAAAATTGCTTGGATCTTAATAAAACACAAATCTAAGTAGTTTTAAGGTCAAACAAAGCAACGTTAAGATAACGTGAGCTAACTAATAGTTTGTTTAAATATTGAGTGAACGCCCAAGCTTAAAGCGGTCAATGAAGCTATGCGGCGTTAATTGCTTTTGCCAGTTGTGAACTACCAAATTTCTTGTTGTCTATATAATCCACACCACATATTGCAGCAACAACAACAATACAGTAACAGTAGTTGGTAAAATTTCAGGCTGTCAACTATTTAAATGTGTGGCATTTCTACAAGTATGTGAAACTCAAATGCAGGCATAACACCGGCAATTGTTCTCCAGCTCTGCAGTGCGTATGAGTGCTCAGCAACTGCATGCATTATGGTCAACTCTTCGTAATAATATAGAATTCAATTAAGCATGCTACGTGCCTGCTGTTGTTCTTATAGTAGTTGAAAGCAGCCATAAGAGTTCAGTGTTAAGATGTAAGAGATGTTGTGTTCAAGATAGTAAAAGCTCTCCAATTAAAGCGTGAACGTGTGTACTTGCGTGCTTCCGTTTTGGCGTGTACAAGGCGCCACTATGTCGTCCTTGCATCGTCACACGTCTGTGTAAACAGTCAACTGTCTGGAAGGCTAAGTTTATGTCGCAGAAGTTATTTGTGTCGGTTTAAGTGCTGTTTGGTCGGTTTACCGGTGGCGCTGCTGTACATTTAGCCCCTGTTAGTGTGTGTTTGTAGTGTTTGTGTGAGTCTAATCATAGTTTTCTGCCCTCCAGCTAGCAGCATTGTACAATAATGTGTACTACTAAGTAGTTAAAGTGCATGAATAATTTTTTTTGCAACGCCGTAATAGATTTACACGGGCGTTGCAAAGCACAAAACCTAATGTTTGTGCGTGTGTATGTGCGTCATTGCGAAAAGTTGTGACTGACAGCCATTATAAGGAAATACAGCACTTAAGCAATAAATGAAGTAAGGTCTGCTGACCTTGTAACATGTGCAGGTGAAAGGTAATAACAACCTTAAAAAATAGAAATCTTCCGAAAAACTCAAGTATAACGAGGTGTATTGTGAAAATTGTCGCAGTTATGTACCTTTTGTCGATTTTCGTATTTGGCATTGACAGATGTTAGCAGCCATAAGTTACGTGCATTGCTTGCTAAACGCGCTTTCATAGCGAAGAAGTAAAGCAAAATAAAAAAACAAAATTGTGACTTATATATATACCTATATATATATATATATATATATATATAGTGGGAATGTGGAAACGTGCAGCAAGTGGAATGAAATAGCTGCTAGAAATATGTTATAAAGGAAAACCAACAAATCAAAAATATAAAATTGTAAAAGGCAAAATCTCAGCAAATTAAAGCTGACACAAACGTCCTTTGATCAGCTGCAGTTTTAAGTGCGTGTTTATGTTCTCTGCCACCTGCTAATATTGGCGCTGAAAACGTGGCAAAAATAAGTGAAGTGTAATTTAATTAAATTTAATAACAGTGGAAAGGAAGTGAAGCATATCGGTAACAAGAAAACTCTGAAAAGATAAGTGTAGCTTCGGCATGAAAAATGCCAAGCTGGCCATAATTGAAAATGAAATTGAAATACAATTTAAATAAAGGCGAAGTAGCTTATTGAATGGCTAAAATGGACAGCGGTACGAAAATTAACTAGGTAAGGATGCTTCGCACATATTGATATCTTAACACACTTTCAGATAAAATAACTTTTAACGAAAGACACCACATAATAAGAAATACAGAAAATAAGTTTCTCCTGTAATCCAAAGAACTCCTATTTTTTGTTTGGAAACCAAATTATAAAATATTTAAAATTTAAAAATGTTCCGAAACCGAATTTTACACCCTGTGCATATAAACCAGCACCATGTTATAATTTTGTATTGCCCATATAAGCATTTATGAGTACAAATTCTATTTAATCCCACAAAAACTAAGCTGAACCAGAATTAATGGCCTATTGAAGCAGACAATAAATTACTCCCTCACAAACTTATAATTTGTGTTGAGATAAAATTGATAATTTTTAAATTTCTAAACCTATCGCACATAGCAAAAAAAAAATATGTCTGGGCTATTAGAATAAAAATTGAAATCACGAGTTTTAAAAATCAGAAACTAATGGCTTGGTAGCTCATGTCATGATGCTTTTTAAATTACCACTAAAATTCGGGTTTTAGGCAACAATTTTGTTGCAAAATTCTCTTAGATTTTCAACATATTGTTATATTCAGGATTTTTAATTTTCAAATGATGTTGTATATCTAAAAAAATTTTAGCACAAAACTTATGTTGATGATGAAATGAAAAAGTAATTAGTCACTTAATATTATTTATTTCACTATTTTTTTGTAATAATATTTTTATTAAAAATTAAAAAAACTTAAATTAGAAATCGGTATTTCAGAATTTAGCCCTGTAATTGTATATCTTATTACTCACGGTTAAGACAATGTATCCTCCCATTTTTTCATTCTTTCTTCTATTTATTCTTGTTGAAAGTCACTTCACTTGACTGAGGTTCTGTCAAGTAAATGATTCTAAAACTCTCAAGTTACCTCCACGGAATTTTTTCTAAATAAATGTAAAAAGAAAATAACCAAAGCAATTGTATAACAAAACGATATAGTTGTTGATAACTTCAAGCTATACAGGAGAATGGTTGATCTGGGTCAAACGAATAGTACCCCTTTTCTTTGTCTACAGCTGTAACATATAGGGAGCTTAAATATATTATATTTTTTCTCAAGTGTCACCGAGCAATATATTTGTACACAGGTATACTTGATCTGCGGTATTTTTGCTTTCTTGTTTTCACAATTTATAAAAGTTGTTTTATCTTACACTCTAAGTTTTCTTAATATGCTGAAATGAAAAAAATTATAAAGTCATTTCTGAAGAATCGCAAAATATGAAAGAAAGAATTAAGTGGAAAAATATTAATATATTGACTTATAATTAGGAAGTCTCCACGTTGCCACCTCGAATCGAAAAAATTGCGATTCATTGAATATCAAAAAAAAATCGCAAACTAAATCGGCACATAAGCCAATTAAGTGGCAGAATTTTATAAAAGCATTAATAATAGAAAGCTTTGATTATCATTGTTATACTGCCTTTTTAAAATATAGCCTTCAATAAAAAAATATGAAACCTTTGAAAATTTGCTCAAGGGGTATTCTAGTCTAGAAATTTTAAAATATCTAAAAAAAAATTGCTTACATATTTTAATAGTTTAAATATTCAAAAATATCTCTCTAAAATTCTTTTTCAAAATTCAAATTATTTTCAAAGTTATAGCCGTTTTAGTGTCGTCGTTGTAACTTGCCAGTATAACTTAAACCGTTAAGCGTATTTTTCTGGAAACTCTCTTTTCCAAAACGATACTCTCAATTTCTAAAATCTTCTTTAAAGACTTGCCTATGACCGAAATATGCCACATCGCCAGTTAGCTCGGCAAATGAAAGAGTTTCCGATGCAAGTACTTGATTCCGCTTGTTCAGTTTGTATGTCAGCTATATGCTATCCGACAAATGAGCAGCTTCTTAGTGAGAAAAACACAGGTGCAAAATTTTAAAGCGATATCTTAAAAACTGAGGGACTAGTTTGTATATACAGACAGACGGAAAGACAGACGGACATGGGTAAATCAACTCAGTTATTCATGCTGATCATTTATGTATATATTTTATAGGGTCTCCGACAGTTCTTTCTGGGTGTTATAAACTTCGTGGCAAACTTAACATAGTACCCTGTTCAGGGTGTAAAAATGGATAGTAAAAGTATGAATTAACTTTTTTTATGACACTTTAATAATTACCTGAAATTCATGAATCTAGACAAGAAAACCGCCTTAAATTGTAACAAATATTTATCGATAAACAGGAGTATTTCAGTCCTTCTCATAATTTCCTCGCTAAAATATTTCTTTAATGATTACACGAATACTTGCATACAAGTATGTATGTGTGCATGTATTCCATAAATCTATTCTTATATCGCTAGGAATGCAGAGCATTTAAGTAATCTCCTATTAGTTTATTATCTGTTGTTAATAGTAAAGTGGTTTGTTCATCATAAACTAAGTAAAAAATTTGCCAGTCACTTAGTAAAGCACATACGTGTGTGCATGCGATGAAATCAGCGAAGGGATTCAACAATTGTGTGTGGACAATTGCTAATTACACGTAATACCAGACATTTATGCTTTCTCATGCTCGAGTACTTAACGCGCAGATAAAGTTTATGTGCATACGTAGATATGTACGAGTCGTAAGTATACACATTTATGTAGCTGACAGAAATTGCTCCAGTTAATATGTGCGCTTATTTACTCCTTGAAAGAACAATAGCAACATAGCCTAGCTTAAAGTGGCAAGTATAGTGCTGATTACATACACATAAAAAAAGATGTATACGAGTATCTAGTACTACAAACATTGGTTTAACCACTTATACGCTGAATGCTCAGTTATTTTTCAATACTTTTGGATTACCTATTTTGACAAATTTTTGTGGCATATGTAACTGTGGCTTGAAGTTACTAAACTTTTTTATGTAATACCTGTTAAAGTAGGTACTATTTAAAATTATTATATAAATTAGTATACGATATGTATTAGCATCCAAAAGCCGTTTGATTAACGCAATACAAAGTCAAAACAAATTATAGTAACTAAAATAAGCAAAACAGTTTTGTTACTGTCTTTTAAAAGTGAAATAGAACCATATTATTAAATAAAAATTTAATTGAAATTATTTAAATCTTTGTCATCTCTCTGTGTTACTTAAAGGCTTCGTATCTTGAAGCAGCAAATGTGTTTTTCAATATTTTGAAACAGTATTGCACGCTCCTATCTATGAAATTTACAAAACTTAAAATCTAAAATTTCATAATCTTCTTAAGAATCCAGATTAGAAGTCTTCACTCTTTTACCTCCCAATAACGCTGGAAGAATTTTCTGAGAATATGTTAGAAATACTACCGAAGATTTTATTTTTATTGATATATTCGCATAAAAATTCTTCAGCGTTTTTGGAAGGTAAGTCTTCAATCTTCTTTCTACTTATCAAGAGTATTAAAATCAATTAAACATTTAATATATAAAGGGTATTTTTTTAGACATGTGGTTTTCGAGAAAAAATAAAACGCATATTATTTAATGCTGTGGAATTTAGATTTATTATAAAGATATAAATTAACCATTGCGTTTTAATAATGATTTCGGTAAAGTAACCGTCGAGGCTGGCTCGAATAATTTTTAGCCTCGATAACTTTTTGCAGCAATTGGGGACATATGTCAGAAATATCTAATCTGCATAGACAAGCTATTTGATGTTAAATCGCACGATCTTGGAGATCACGCCACAGGCCCATGACGCGAGATAATGCGCTCATCGAAAGCTTCCTACAACAAACTGATTGTTTAGTTGGCTGTATTGCAACAAGCGCAGTCTTGTTGAAACCAAAGGTCGTCCACATCAACACTCCACCCAGTCAGGCACGAAAACATCATTTTGGGCGTGTAGCGCTTCCATTGACTGTATGGCCGGTTTCATTTTTGAAGAAATGTGAACAAATGATTCTCTTTGCCTATAGAGTACACAAAACAGGGACTTTTTGTTCATGTAATGGTGTCCAAACAATGTCTTGTGGATTATCATCACTCCAAATGCAACAATTTTCTTGTGAAAACCGAACCATTATTATAGTAAAATATTTGCATAATTTTTAAACGTTGTTTATTATAAAATAGCAAACCAAACTGAGTATAAATCAAGTAAAAGCTGTCAAAAAGATCAACCTCGAAAAAATTTTGCTCTTTTGAAAACCATACTCCTAAGAAAATTAGCCCTTACAAACTCACATACATAATATGTCAATTTGTGTTCGGTAGTTATATTTTTAATATCATTTGTAACCAAAAACATAGTGTTGACTTAGAAAATGAACAAGGGATTTACTAAGTTTAACTAAGCAAAGGTTTTCCGTTGCATATATTATGTGTAGTAATTACCATATTATAATTAACTTTAACATATAAGTACTCATATTTTTTATTTCACTTTTGTTTGGTTTAAAAATGCATTGGCAGCAACTAAAAAATGATTTATCTAAATAATCATAAAAAAAAAACAAAGCACATGATATACTGCATATCATAATCAATCACTATCGAAAATGACAGAAGCGGCTGAAATATCAAACTCACGAACAGCAATGTAACAACATTTTACTGGCATTGAAACTTACTCTGTTGTCATAATTGGTAACAAATAACAATTTTGCACACAAGAGCATACACAATACATCGTTGATGAGAACAACCAACCAGACAAGCATTCAAGCGCATGCCGCTGCTGATGCAATTTTATTATTGCTTAATTGAGTTTACTACATTTCAGTTTACTGACATGGCTTTCGCCTGATGGACTTCTGCTTTCTGGCAATAATTTGCTATTGCATTGGTTGATTTTAATTTTAGTATTTTTTTCATAAATTCTCATATGATGAATGGTTGCTGCTGAGTAGAGTAATATGATGATTTCAGGATGCCTACAACGCTTAGTTTCCAGTAAATTAAACGCTTGCCAAACAACTAATATAGTAAACATTAGGCTTATTGTTAATTTATTAAGTAAATATGAAATACT